AAAAAAAAAACCAAAATGTACACATTGGAGTTCGGTGTGACTCACCTGCATTGTGCCGGAAATTGTCATTCGCTCGCTAAGTATCTCATGCAAATGCCGAGTTCCCATTGTGTTTCGTAGAGTAGTCTGCGCCAAAAGTCTGGTCGAATGGTGAGCGTTCTCCACGTTCGCTATAGAAACTGTCGCATTGGAAACGCGATAATAAACCACTGCATCCACCGAGACGGTGACGCTATCCTTTGTCAGAACCTACAAAGTGCAGTGGGTGGGTTTTTGTTTTTGTTTTTGTTGCTTTGTTTTTTTTTTTTTTTGTTTATTGTTTGTTTGCTTTCTTATTTGCTTATTTATTTATTAATTTGCTTGTTTGTTTGCTTAATTTTCTGCCACACATTTAAGCGTGTTGGAGAAAAAATTGTGCAAGTTTGTTTGCTTGCTTAGCTTTGCTTTCCCTTCTCTTCAACTTCAACTTAAACCTCAAATTAATTTTTAATTTTCTTTTCTTTCTCTCTACTATTTAGTTTATATTGTACTAGGCTTTTGTAGTGTGTGTGTGGGTGTCACTGTGTGTGTGTGTGTGCGCTTACAGATATGTATGTACGTGAGTGTAAGTTTCCAACTTTTGTATGTACATACAAGCAAGCCAACAATTTGCTGCTGCTGCTCCTTTTTGTCCTGCTGAAGTTTTCCCTTTCATACTAAATTATGTATACAATACATACATACATATGTACAAGCACTACATACACAATAACCTATGTATTTACTCTAAATAAATATACATATACGTACATATGGTTGTGTGTCGGTGTGTTTGTGCATGTAAGCACATGAAACTATTTTAAGTGAGCCGCGTGCACATTTCCATCTTCATTTTCATTTGCATATCAATTTCTGCATTTTTGCATTTGATTCTACAAACATACATACATACATTAATACACACACACGCTTGCAATGTGCATTACTCACAGGATTCAATAAATACTTACATATGCAAGTACATTAGGGCGCATCTCTCTCCATACAAAAAATAATAATAAAATAAAAATAGGTGTTATTATAAAATTTATTATATTTTAAGATATTCGGCAAAATATTTGGGAAAAATATTAAGATTTACGCGAGCTACACCGATTTAAAAATATCTCCTAAATCTAATTTTTTCGTTCCAATGATGAAATGTTCACACATCTTTTAAGCTTAGGCTATTTTACCATCTAAAGTGAGTTTTTGGCAAAAATATTTTGAAAAACTTTTTTTTCTTTATAAAAAATCAATATTTGGTGTGTTTTTAAATCGGTTTAGCTCACACAAATCGTCATATTTTCTCGAAGATATTTTGGTGAAACTTTTAATATATAATTTTTTTTTTTACTTTTTTGGTGAGGAGCCCTAATGTAAATGCATAATAGGACTGGGACTATCCGTAAATTCTGTTATCCGGATTTTCATTTCAATATTCGTGTATACGAATAAAATCCGGATCCGAGAAAAATACGGATACCAGTTCAATTAAAAATGCGGATATTCGGTTAACCGGTTAATATCCGTTAATTTTGTTATACCGATATCTGTTTAATATCCGTTCATTTTGTTATCAGGATATGTGGATATTCTAAACCGGTTTTGAATTTATTCGTAAAATTGTTCTCAAAATTACTGGACCAATAAAGTTACAAAATAAATAATAGAACGCTTCATTAAAACACAGCAAAGTTTTATTTTAATTATCGTTAATTCTTAGAATCGAATATCTGAATATCAACACGCTATTCGGATATCCCAATATATGACCGAATATTCGTATTTTTACTACCTATTCGAATATTCGGTTTATCCTCATAGCAAAAAAAAAATCCGGTAAGAACTGCCAGCCCTAATGCATAGTGTTTGATGTATGATTCCTCGCTTGACTGCTTGCTGCCTTCGCACCAACCAGAAAGCAAAGAAATGCGATTTCGCTTTCGTTTGCATCAATTTGCGTGACAGCAAAAAAAAAATTCAAAAATACTGTGAAAAATGATGTGATTTTGTGGTGCGAAAAGCATTGACAGGACACAACATTTAATACGAATGCACTTACAAGTTGCTGTGGGTGTGTGAATACATACAAACATACTTACAAAAATATATGCATACATACATAGTACAAATGTATGTACATATGTACTTAAGCACCTCTCAATAAAATTCACTAAGATACATATTTTCATTTTTGTTAAGACTGCAATTGTTCGTCGCTGCTGCTGCTGCTCAACTCAGTAAGGCAGCGCAATGGCACTTGTTGTAGAAAAGCATCAACAAGGACGACATTCGATGTCAGCAATTCGTTGTATACATATGTATGTATATGTAAATATTTATTTTGCATTACACATTTTGATTTATGCACATTGCCATACATGTGTGTGTGTGTGTGAGTGGTTTATTAATTTTTGCAGGTAAATTATCTTCAACGGCTTATTAAATTTTTAAATACAACCACAATGTTTGCAATGTAGTAAAAGTGGAAGTTTCGAATCCGTTATTTTTTATTTTTTTTTGATTTAGTTAATTAGGGTCTTAAAAGTACACAGCAAGCGAATGAATGAATGAAGCATAGAATGCACGACGCTTAAATAACTTGCATTGAGTAAATAAAAAAAAAACACAAACTTTTGTGGGGAGTTTGTTTGTGATAATGGCAAAGTGAAGTGAAGTACGCTGAATGAAGTTTTCTCTCTCTTTCACCTTAAGTCAACTAAGAAGAGGCAACGATACAGGTAGTTGCAAAAACTTCAATATTAGTTTGGAATTAGAATAATATTATGTACATATAAACAAGTAAGGGCGGTGTTGTTTTCACTTTGCCGAAGGCTTCATAGATTTCAAGAACATCAGCAAGTTGTACTTCAACCGATTACTGTATTTGAAATTAGTTGTTTGAGTGCTGAAAAAATGTTTTTTTTATTCACTGCATATGTCCACAGAAAAGCACCGAGCTAAATGATTTTCACTGCTGTGTATGATCAATAGGTAAACCGGTAATACAAATTGATGGTTTTAGATGCCTACCGATATTGACAAAAAATTTCATATCTCAACAATCAGTTGTATGGGAGCTAAATATATTTTATAGTGGTCCAATTTTTGCGGTTCCGACAAATGATTAATACAATATAGAAATATACCCCCACCAACCAAATTTCAGTCGGATATCTCGAAAACTGAGGGAGTCCCCAATACTTAGTCGAAGAAACACCACGAGCCGGTTTTATAGATATAATTACGAATTCGGCTGACTAAGCATGTGAAAACTATATTCCTTCAACTTTAGTCTAGCAAGCACTGTAAATCGATCATGTCCTAGTTTTCGCCCAGCGTTTGTATGGCCTGACATGAGTCCCATTTATCCAAGAGTGTACAAGTGATCAATGGCACTCTCAGCCGCTCTTTATCCGCCGATAGCGTTTCAAGAGTACCATTCCTAGCCAATTCGTCATTCGCACAGTTCTCCGCTAGTCGCTGTGATATGGAATCCAAATAAGTTTAATACAGAAGAGTTCCGATGCGACTGCGAGAGAAAGAGAACAGGCAATCGTTGACCACTGGACGACGGAGTCGAGATATTTGGAAAATGTTCATCAATGGACCGATTAGATTCAAATTTAGTACGTATCTATATTAATTCTCACGAAGCGAAATTAATTTGCAAAAAAATTTAGGCGCCAGGTGGCGCTGGAGTCGAGATATTTAGGAGCCTCGTATTTAAGATCTGCATGGGCTTTATTAGGGCATTTACAATACGTCTTAAGCGTCGTAATGTCTTAAAATATTAAAACATTTTTTTTTCGTAAATGAAGGTTAATTTTTTTTCAAGATTTTCAAATGCACGAATATGCTTTTAGCTCATAAAGAATATATTTTTAGCTTATATTATACTCTGAAACATTTTACGTATTTAAGACATTACGACGCTAAAGCCGTCTTGTGAATCCCCTATTTGTTTATGTTATAAAAATTTACTTTTTAGATGCCTAAATGATATCATCCTTCCTAGAAAGTACACGGTAGGCATAACAATGGCGCCATTCGAACAATATTTAAGAGATCTTACCGTACAGTACAGCCAATGTACGAAGAAATCCTTTCGTGCAGGGAAACATTAAGACTTTTTGTGCCTCTATAATAGAAAATGCACATCAGTTCTTGAGTATCCTTATAATGACTTTTATTGGCTGATATGGTGTAAGACTAGACAGGGATGTTGATGGCGAATAGTCATATAACATACTGTATACATAGCTTTGCAAATTCGACTTATCAATTCTCGAATATCCAAAAAAATTCCTATTATTTTTCGTGCCGGTTAATGCTCCTCACAAAGTTAATCCTCTTTCTCTAAGAAATACATGGTCTCATTTATCATCTTCGAATTGGTATATTTTTAAATGCATACCTGCCGTAATTATAAATTATATATTTTAATAGAAAAATGCAACTCTCGACAATGCTCGAGGGCAATATAAACTATGCAGGTTGATAAATCTAAAAGATCTTCTGTTTCATTCAAAATATTTTACTTCACTTCACCCATTGCTGTGCGATTTTATTATGTCGCTGTATGGGCCAGTTCTACGTCAACGTCGACGTATTTAGCTATGTATGGAAGTGTACTTTCTTATAAAAATTTTATTTAGCGATTTACGTATTTACTTACTTACATATCTAGAATTACGGCAATTATCACATAAATTTTTTAATCGCTTGTAAAAAATAACACAGTGCAACAGAGGCGGAACGGTACCAACTCAGGCTCAAAGACCTAGACCCATATAGTAAAACCTCCACGTTTTTTTTTTGTACTTTCAGGTTATATTTTTTTTATAGCCATATAAAGTTTGCATTTTTTTGGCTGCGCGTTTTGGAATAAATGGAAAAAAGTTGAAATTCATATATCACGAGGAATAATTTCCAAAAACATTTTAACGCTTTAGCTCCCTAATGAAAGGGTCATTTTGATCCCATTTTTTGATGGTCTGAAGAAAATCGCATTTGGGAGACCACTAGAGTTATATTTATGAACAAAATATTAAAGAAAGCATAAAAATGTTGTTGCATATTTCAAGGAAACGTATGTATTTGCTTTTTATTTTCCGTGTACTTTAAAGTTTGTTTTATAAAGATTTTGTATGAGGATATTTTAATCCTCTAACGACCTCCCAAATGCTATTTTCTTCAGACTTTCCCGAAAAGGGGTCGAAACGACC